AGTCTTTTGAAGTACTTTCTTGGAATTGAGGTCTCAAGATCAAAGTCAGGTATTTTTCTCTCACAGCGAAAGTATGCATTGGATTTATTGAAAGAAATTGGAATGACAGCATGCAAACCAACAAATTCTCTAATTGAAAGGGGATTGAAATTGTGCATTGAAAAAGATCAAACTCCAACTAACATGAAAAAATATCAGAGACTTGTAGGGAGATTGATGTATCTCTCACACACCAAGTCAGATTTAGCCTAGGCTCTTAATGTGGTTAGCCAGTTCATACACAATCCAGGTGAAAAACACATGGATGTTGCTATATGGATTTTAAGGTATATAAAAGTCGTTCCTGAAAAAAGAGTTATGTTCAAGAAATACTCTAACTACAAGGATGTGATGGTTTATACTGATGCAGACTGGACAACTGCTCTTGATGATAGAAAATCAACCTCTGGATACTTTACATTTGTAGAAGGTAATCTTGTCACATGAAAAAGCAAAAATCAGAAAATTGTAGCTAGATCTAGTGCAGAAGTTGAACTTAGAGGAATGGTTCTTGGACTTTGTGAAGGTTTTTGGTTCAGACTACTTCTCCAGGATTTAGGGTATGCACATACACGTCTCATTCAGTTGTATTGTGATAATAAAGTTGCATGACATTACTCACAATCCTGTCCAACATGATCGAATGAAACATGTAGAGGTTGATAGATTTTTCATCAAGGAAAAATATTCTAGAATTGCCAAATATTTTATCTGAAGATTAATTGGCAGACATTCTTACCAAAGCTGTGACAAATCAGATTTTTAGGAGATTATTGGACAAGTTGGGAATGTATGATATTCGTTTACCAACTTAAGGGGGAGTGTTGAGATAAAGATATTTGATTAGCTAAATTATAGGTTTGTATAGTTGTACAAAATAATGCATAATCAAAACTTACTTTATTTAGTCTTGATTTGTAGGAGTAAAATACTATAAAAATATGGTATCTATATCCAAAAAAGATATTTTAAGACTTCCAAGTCCTTCATATGGAAGCAAGACCCTAAGTAAGCTTTAAAAATCTCCATGGTTGAAACATCATTCCCTGTAATAATTAAGTCATCCATGTAAGCTAGTACATAAAGATGTATTTCTCCCTTGTGTAATATAAAGAGTGAGTAATCTGAATAGGATTGGACAAAGTCATAGCTCTTTAATGTCGTAAATATCGTAGTTAACTTAGCAAACCAACAATGAGAAGCTGTTTTAATCTGTATAATGACTTTTTCAACCTACAAACCAAATTTAGGTCAATGTTTCTAAAGCTTGGAGGAACTTTCATGTACACTTCCTTAACCAAATCACCATAAAGAAATGCATTTTGCACATCCATTTGGTGTACTTCCCATTTTTTAATTGATGTTACTGCCAAGAAGATATGTATGATCACCATTTTTGCTACTGGAGCAAATGTTTCATCATAGTCTATTATCTCTCTATGATGGTGTCCAAATATAACAAGACTCACTTTCAAACGTTCTATTCTCCCATCTGAGTGATATTTTATTTTGTATGCCCATTTACTTCCTAGTGCTTTATTTCCAGATGACAATTTCTACAAAATTCATGTCTCATTCTATTCTAAGGCCTGTATGTCGTTGGCCAGTGCAGCACGCCAACCAGAATCCTTTATGACTTCCTTAAAATTCTTAGGTTCTTTCTTTGTTATCACAACTACAACAAAATTTTAATGCCTGACAGAAAATCATTCACAATTTACAAAGTAAGTAATAGGATAAGGAGTACCTAAGGCATGTTGTTAAGCACATGAATTTTCGAGTACTTTACTTTCCGAATGATATGAGTGACAAAATCCTTATATATTATTGATAGAATTTTGTTTCTCATTCCCCTTCCCATTTTTGTCTCTATATTTTCTTCTTGCACCTCCACATCATCAGTCACATCAACTTTGTGTGGAGACATTACCTCACCATCCACACCACTCATGTTTACTTCCTCATCAAATACTATAGTAGGTTCATTATAATTTTCACACAAACCCTCTTGAAGTTGTGGTTGTTCTTCTCCTTACAAGGCTAGAGATGCATCATAAGACTCTCTTCCAATATCATCAAAAACATACTTCATATCAGAATTAATGTGAGGAGTATAAGGAGTGTTGTTCGATGACCCAACAAATGGAAATTCATGTTCATAAAATTTCACATCTTTAGAAACAAAATATTCATGAGATTTCAAATCATATAATTTTCATCTCTTTTTCTCATATGAGTATCCCACAAATATACACTTTCGAGTTCTACTTGCAAATTTATCCTCATCATGACGTTGATGATGAGCATAACATAAGCAACCAAAAACTTTCATGTTATCAAATTTAGGCGCTTTACTGAATAATTTTCATAAGGAGTTAGATAATTAAGCACATTGGATGACATGTGATTAATTAAATAATATACTACTAACATGCATTCTCCCCAAAATTGCATTGATAAATTGTCCTGAAATTTGAGTGCTCGTGTAACATTCATAATATGTTGATGTTTTCTTTCCACTCTCATTTTGTTGTGGAGTACATATACATGATGTCTTAAACACAATCTCATTCTTTAAAGAAAAATCACATAGATAGTTAAATTCGGTGTCATTGTCACTTCATACTTTCTTTATTTTCCTATCAAATTGTCTTTCAACAAATGCAATAAAGTTCATAAAAATATACTTAACTTCAGTTTTATTGCATAACAAATAAACTCTAACTCCACTTGAATAATAATTTACAATTGTTAAGTAATATTGTGCCCCACATGATGAAGGGGTGTGATAAGATCCCCATAGATCATAATGAACTAATTCAAACAAACTACTTACATTGTACTCACTTAATGAAAAACGATCTCTATGTTGTTGTTTAGCACGTGTACAAACATCACATATTTTATTATTATTGCTTCTATTAAACTGACTTACATGAGGAATGAACTTTAACACCTTTTCTAATGGGTGCCCTAAACGTTTATGTCACGGATCAATTGACCAATATTTGTCAAATGTTAATGCATGCACCTTTGGAATACTACGAAAAAAAATAAAGTACATTGGTTTGTTCACCCGCTCCAATGAACGTCCTCGTCGTCTGGTTTGTATTACGCACAATGTATTAGTAAATTGAATGATACAATTTGGGGCATCAATTAATTGCGATATAGAAATTAAGTTGTAAGTTAATTGAGGCACACACAAAAACTTTATCAAGTTATAAACCACCATCCAAAATCACACTGTCCTCCTTTGTAGTGGTGACATCTTTTCCATCTGGCATTCCCACCGGTTTGTTTGTAATTTTTTTCACATTTATCAAACAAGATAAGTTTCCAGTGTGAGACTCTTATGTCAATAATCCAAGGAATGTCATTCTTATCGTGAAGACAACCCTTGATTTTGGGAACATTCAAAACGTTAAGAAGTTGTTGTCACCGTTCTGGACTGATGTTGGATATTCCTGTTGATTCACCTGGGTTTGATAGAGAATGAGACTATCCACCTTTAACACCATTGCTACGACTTCCTATTGTGGCTTTGTTGGCATGCACAGGTGCATTGTTTGTACCGGTTTAATTAAAATCCGATTATTTAAAAATAACATATCAATTTCTAGACTGGTTAAACCTGTTGATCCCATCCAATTTTCAAAGTAGCACCTGAATCACAATAATAAAACCAAACATGATTATTAATGTTTGGTAAACCAAACAATAATGTTTGGTAATTTTAGTTACAACAAATTTAAATGTTTTTTAAAAGTTAATTAATGTGAAGTATATATAATTTTAAATCTACTAATAAAAATCAGTATTTTGTTAGAAGAAAAAAAGTTCACAATTTTTCGTACATTTAGTGATGTGCCCCAAATTAATAAGTTAAGGTAAAAAAATATAATACATCTAGATATAAAATCTTTTTTTTTAAGATTGGTTAGAAACAAAGTTGTGTCTTTCCTTTCTATTACTAATCCATACCAATAATTTATAGACACATATATGTTGTAACATCTTTTTGTTTTTCATGGTGAAATGAATTTCTATATTGTTATAATCCATGCTATAGGAATCCAAAACTTCATCCCCATGAATGGCACACAACAAATGAGCCATGAGTAGGAGAATTGTGAGTGAAGGGTTTTGAAGAAGCTAGGAATTAATACACGTGAGAGTCATATGTGAAACCGTGGAAATAAACCTTATTTTTTTCTGCTTTTCAAATCAAAAGTAACTTTCAATTTGGGGAGATGATTTTTTTTTTTAGGTGGTTGATGGATGAAATAGAAGTTTTTCTACAAACAAGTTATTTGATGAATTTTTAAGAGAATTGTTTACATTCCATCAAGATAGAAAATAAGAGAATTTGTAAATGTATTTTCCTATTATAATATAGAGTTTGTAATTGATTTTTCTTTGTATTTATAAAAATAATGATTGATTTTTCATGAAAGAACTAGTTATGATATTTAAAAATAATCAATCAAATATTTAATTTAATTCTTTAAAATTAATTCTATATTATAATATTATCATATTTTAATCTAGATTTTTCAATTGTAAAAACGATAAATATTAAGAATAATGAAAATAAAGTGTTATTAAATGGGTTATGATTATAAATTAACAAAATTTTCTAAATTGATAAAATAATAAACTAAGGAATTTCGCCAAATAATTGGTTTGACATGTTGCAAAATAAGATCAAATTGGATGTGAGTAGGCCGAATAACCTTTGGAGATGTCTCTCAAATTTCTTTGTATAACTATCAATGTCAATCAACACAACATTAAATGATGAAGAGAAAAAAAATATATGTGAGTAGGAAGGATCCATTAATATGTTTCTCATCATATTATTTTATTTACTATGATTTTGGTTAGATGCATGTCCAATCTTGGTTGCCAGAAGACAGCTTCAAGTAAACTTGAGAATCTGCACCTTGTTTTCTTGTAGGATGTTACATTATTTTATTTTTTATGTAACCATCAGTTTCAATCCACTCGTCTTTCAGCACTCACAATCAACCACTAGACTGCTACTTTCTATCAGAATTATCAAAGAAGAAATGACAAAGCTACACAGTTCTTCTCCAAGTTCAGCATCCTCAAAGCTAGGAATTGACAGAGATTCTCATGCAATATCAAAGTTCAAGTCAGAGATTAGGATAGTTCATGTATTTGCTCCTGAAATAATTGAAATTGATGCTGCGAATTTCAGAGAGTTAGTTCAGAAACTCACAGGAAAGCCAGAAGAAGGGAGAGGTAGAAGAAAGTCCAAAACTGCACTAACCAAAGATCCATTGGATTCACACTGCATGGAGGCCTTCATCATTCAAGATGAAGGAGTTTCTGAGTCTGCAAAATGGGATAAGGGTAAAAAATGAATATGAAGAGGAAGAAGTTCAAGGTTATCTATGGAGATCAAAGTCAAACGAGATGTTCAGTGGTTTTGATGCAAATACAGATTGACCCCTCTAAATCACATCAGGTTTCCTTGATGGGTCCTCAGAATTTAATTGTTTGTTGGAAGAGTTAACCACTCCGCCTGATGTGAATCAAAATTAAAGCAAAGTTTTGATATGTTATTATTCAATGCATACTTATCAATAAAAACTGATGCTTCCTAATTGCAGATTGAGCATTGACAATTACTTTAATTCTGATACTGATGCAGTGCATCTGTGTTGATATATTTATTTTTTTTATTTAGTTGGTGTGCATAGGCATTACTCTGATAACTGGAAATCCCAACTAAGGTTGCACTTCCAGATTTACTTATCATTAAATATCAAGATAACATTAAAATCAAAATAATGGTACATCGATGCCACGAGTGGACTTGTTGCATCTTCTATAGGTAGGTCTTTCACATAGCAATTGGAAAATTTTGCAATACCATTTTTGCATGGTTCAGCCATTTTTTTCTCCCCAGAATATTGTTTTTTCTTCATGGAATCATTCCCAGTGAAGCGCAAGGGATATGTGCACTTTTGCAGGCTAAAAATTTACATATCCATTGACTCCATTGAAAACAAAATTATAATTGAACTTTGACAACATTGGAGTAATTGACAAGTGTCTTTGTCATGCATACAATATCAATGCAGATCTGACACAAAGAGTAATGATCTTCAGAAATAAATAGCATTACACTTTGAAAGTGAAAGAAATATCATTTAAACAGTAAATTGAATCATGATTAGAGATGAAATTGGAATTGTGGAAGAAAATAGATGAAAGATAGCATTACAACTTCAATGATGTATTCCAACGCTAGCCCAAAAACTATGAATCATAAACACAATATTATCCCTCTTTCTCGTAACAGGGCATCAACAACCTTCTCAAAATTCCATTTTGTCATTTCCACCAATAAATAAACAAAGTGTCATGCTGAAACTTAGACTTGACTGGTAAACAAACTACCAGTGGAGAAAGATTTACACACGACCCAAAAATCCTAAACCAATAGAGAAAGAAGTACACATAATCTGAAAATCTAAGCCCAAATGTGCATTATTAACTGATACTGCTACTGTCGCTTCCATCCAAAGGCACAATCATTTAACAAAATATATGTGGCTAGGTACAGTTCAAAAATGTATCACCCTACATGGAGTGAGATTGACTATCAATCAAGATCTCAGATAATACTCAATTCAGGGTGCTTCTGGCTGGGGCTGCTCTGGTTGCCTGACGTATAAGTGATTTTATTACTATATGATACCTGAAATAGAGACAAAAATTTATGTGCCTCATTAAATTATAAAATAAATATTTTAGGGATTGAACAGATAACCTTTATAGGAAAAAGAAAGAAAGAGACCTTATCCACCAATATGTATCATAGGCCTATTTGCAGTCTTTGCTATGTCAAACATACCAGCATGTGAAGCTTTCTTCCTCTTCACCTAGAACAAAGGAAAGGCAACATTAAGTAACAAGATAGTACAATACTCCATAGTATAGCTTAACTAAAGTTAGCTGTACAATTTCAAGTAGTCTATATCCACTATTGATTATTTTGTTTGAATGCAACCAAATAATCAGAGTCAGATGGAAAATGATAGAAAACAATGAGTTTGTACTGTATTATTCAATGGAAATGTTCACGTTAATGTGGTCTAGAGGTAGAAGGTGATACGAATAGTTACTTTCTCAGGGTGTTTGAGAAACTCTTGTCTCTGCCAACTACCAAACGAGGCTAAACTTTACTTAACTATATTCCAACCCCTACTCCCCATTTTCTCCCTATATACAGAATCTCTAACTAAATCATTATCAGCTAGGTTGTGGGGTTTGTTGTCCCCTGCTATGCTTCTCTTATTCCTAAAGTAGATATATTTTATCAAGAGTCCATTACCATGTTAAATTAAAATAGCAGCAGCGAATAAAAATATATTGCAACATCATCATATTAAAAAGGATGATAATCCTGGTAAAGAAAAAATAAATTAGTAAATCATTATAACCCAATTAGCAGTAATAGTCGGAAGTGCATACCGCTGCCCCTATGATCTCCCGTAGTTCATGATCCTCTGCACCACCTCTCATGGGATCTCTTAAGCTAACCTGTAACATGGACCATATAAGAAAATCACATAAATCTTTTGGTGAAGCTACACATCAGTGTCAACATACATAAAGCATCTTTGACTTGAACATTTAAATGGTTTAGAATATGATTATCAGTTTCAATGAATGGATATTTTAAGAAATGATTAAGAATTTAAAAGAATGAGGATAGTACATTAGTACATCTAAGAAATGATTCTAAGGCATCAAACTAAATGGAATATCAAATGAAATAGCATGTGCAGTGGAATGAGGGAGTAAAAGAACGGGCAAGGCATTGCATATTCAATCCCAAAATTTGTAACTCCCAAAAGATCACTCCCAAAAGTAAACAACTAAATTAGGAATCAACTCCCAAAATATGTGATCTTTATAAACTTGAAAATATGGCTTTTAATTTGGGAGTGGAATGAGGGAGTAAAGATCACTCCCAAAAGTAAACAACTCCAAGAACCAAACCCAGAAATTGCAACAGCTAACTGCAAGGAATCAGTCACACTATTTATAAAACCAGACTGCTAAAAGTTTGCATAGCATTATTAGTCCTGATTTTACTTGCCAAAAAAATTATAGGCTTTAAATACAAAATCCTTGATCCCAAGTCCTTCATACTCATGGCCCAATTATCCAAACCATTTACCCATACATTTAGAAAGCCTGCAATTAACATGATCTACGATGCCCTGCTACTCCAAAAATGGAAAAATATAGGCGTCATTCCCATGTTAGATACCGATACTTCTAGATTCATATCCATAAATTTGAAATTAAATTGTGATCATAATTATTATGAATTAACGAAAAATTATCAATGTCTCTTTCTTCATCAATGTTATGCTCTATAAAATATTTTATAATTTTTTGCTAACAATTCCAAATCGTAGCATATCCTAAATTCCAAAAGGATTGTCATATTCCTGTAAGTATCCAAGCTTCATGTATTATCATCAACTCTATCCTCACATATTCATCAAAAACATAGTATTCCAAATATATATGAGACACAGATTTAGCCCAATCGCCATCACCAAATTTACATGACATGCATAATATATTGAACTTTGATGAGTTGAATATAACTTACCTCTGAAGGACCAAATAAACAGACTTTAAAGTTTCCATCAGCAAGTAGCCGCAATCTATTGCAACCAGCACAAAAATGCTCAGTCATTGATGTGATAAACGAAACTCTACCTTCATGCCCATCTATTGTGAAATTCTTGGCTGTATCTGTAGGGTGATCCTTAACTCTTTTTAAGCTTGAAAACCGTTTCATCTGTTTGGTAATGATGGTTATAAAGTGTCTCTACTATATGAGAACAACAAAATGCTGTATAAAAGTTAGGTCTCCAGTCTGATTTCTACCTTACCACTGTATCCAACATTTCTGAGTAGGGTACAAGTTTCTTGACATTCCAAACATTTCCATCAAAAGGCATGAACTCTATAAAGCGAACATCAATTGGCTTTTCCCGGGTCAACTCAACAAAGTCACAGATTTCATCATCATTGAATCCACGCATTACAACACAATTGACCTGAAAGGCAACAGAAACATACAAGACACCTTAAAATGCATCTATCAGTGACATGAAAGTTATCAGAGGTTATGCACCCTTGTACAAGAATAATTCTCTTGCTGTAAAATTCTTTTGAATAACTTAATGAATTTGGACAAAAAAGTTACCTGCACATGGGGACACGATCAATTAGAAAAACTTGCAAAAAGTAATGATATAAAAAAAAGAAATACCTTAACTGGATTATATCCAAGGTCTATGGCAGTATTAATTGAATTCATTACTTTTTCATGCCCTTTGCGTCTGGTCATAAACTCAAACTTTGCTGGTACCAAAGTGTCTAAACTAATGTTGACAGAAGTAAGCCCACAATCTTTCAGCTTTAGAAGTTTTCTCGCAAGGGCAATACCATTGGTAGTCATGGACAATGTTCTCAGTCCCTTCAAGTTTGATAATTCCAAACATATGTCTTCAATGTCCTTCCTAACAGTTGGTTCCCCACCTGTCAGACGTATTTTAGTTACCCCTGAGCTTACAAACAGATTTGCCAATCGCAGAATCTCAGTCTTTGTTAAAAGTTGAGGGTTAGGAGTGAGTTCGACACCTTCTGCAGGCATACAATACTGGCACCTTAAATTGCACCTCTCTGTTAAAGATATTCTCAAGTAAGTGTGAAGCCTTCCAAATGAATCTACCAACATATCAGAGACAGAATTATCCTTCGGCAGATCTTCAGACGCCGAAGCACAAGATGTAGTAGCAAAAGCTCTTGTGGCATATTCATTCAAGTGTCCACTGAACAAAGCTTGACGAGTAGTACTTCTGGCAGCACAGTATGACCCCATATCACAATTCAACTGCTTCAAGAAAATTTGTGTCACAAGCCAGCCACATTTTCATAAACAAAATTTGAACACATAATAGCCCCACCAATCCCCAGATTAACTATAATTCTTACGCATAATTCCTCAACAAAAACTAACAATTTCCATCTGGGTATCAATATAATTAATTCTTCAAGTAAGCATCTGTAAAAACTCAATCGATATTGAAAAGGCACAACTAAATAATTGATTTTTGCATTTTTCGAGATAGAACCGGGGGATTACGAGTTTATTGCTGAATTTGAACATAAATCAGCAACTCCACACTACAGTCTAACACACAACTTGAATCAAGCACAGGCTAACCGGTATTATTAAAACAATAAATAAAATAACAATTCTCATCTGCATGTAAATGGGTATCACTGTAACTAATCATCGAAGTAAGCATATTATAAAAAAACT